ACACACACACACACACACACACACACAAACCTAAGTATGTCTCTCCTTTACTTCACTCTCTTCCCTAACCATGAAATCTTTAGATATGTGGGTTTAAAGTGTTAGTGAAATAGTGAAAAAAAACACACTCACTCTGTGTGGACGTGTTGCTCCTCTGTGACGACCCACCATGCGGCAGATTGGAAAAGAAGTGTTGAAAAACGCTGAGTTCTGATTCGCCGGACACACAGATGTGTTCATCCCCTGGCGCCGTGAGCACGTCTGCCTTCGAGCTCTTTCTGCTTTCGGAGCAGAAAGAGCAGAGTGGACAGAAAAATCAAAGAGGGAAATACTTATTTACAAAGTTACATAATAAAAGTGATCTTTTTGTGTCTTTGCCAAAAAAAAAAAAAAGGCACCTTGCTCAAGGGCATTTAAATAATATCACTAGACACTGTATTGATTATTGGAGATCATCACAAAAACAGAAAGTAGAAGCAAAGACTGGAGACATTCAGCACGTGTCGCTGTGTGTTTCTGTCGTACCTGTGTGGAACCGAGATGACGTCGCTGCTGTTTTCCGTCTGCAGCTGTTCCATCCTCTTCTGAACCTCCCTCTGTCGGCTGGAAACGTCCTTAATGTGGAACAAAGCCACATTCAGCTCTTCCTGCAAATAGATTACATTCCAAGTAAGCAAGTCAAACTCATTTGGAGGGAAATCCGCCGGGTTTCTTTAGGGCACAAACTTTTTTTCTTCCGGATAAACTGAGCAGAGGCATCATGTGGGAGTTAGAAATGCATAATGACACTTTATGTTGGGAATGAATCACTTCTTTGTACGTTGGCGTGTTTGAATGCAATATAAATATCATCTGTTTTTACTTCGCAGGAACCTCCATCACCTTGAAAGTGTTGAGTGAGTTCTTCAGGCCCATGATCTTGTCGTCCACGTCGGTCTGATGCGCCTGCAGCTTCTCCTCCAGGCCGTGGTCCTTCTGATGCAGGTCATGCAGCTCCGTCAGAGCGGCATGAAGCCCCTCGCGCAGCTCAGCCACCAGGCCCTGCAGCTGCAACACAAGACCAAAACGTCATGTTGTCATCGCACGCTTGAGGACTGTGACGATGGCCTCAGATGAAAGTAAGAGAAATTATTTTTACTGGACGGTCTATTACCTCTGGAGGTTTTACTTTTTTCTGTTTGTTGGCAGGATTATCACCAGTCTTGGATGGATGCTGTTCAGGGAACATTAAGAACCATTTTTCAATTTATTCCTTGATTTCTAAGAGAAATAATTTATGGATCCTAATGAAAAACACAGGAATGTTTAGATCCAAATGAAAATGCAGATCTAGTGAATTTAAATGTTGCTGGAGTTTTGTGCTCGCTGAGAAAATAATTATTCGTGCTTCTTCTCTTTATCAACATTCTCTTCTCTCTGTGCATCAGGTCAATGAGTCATGTGTTTGTTTTCTACTTACTTTAGTTTTCCTTTAAGTTCATTTAAGTATTCACTTTTCTCCTCCCCTCACCACTGCCATCATTTTTAAGGAACTTCATCTTCTCATCTTCTCACTAATAATCATAAACGCTGCATTCTTCCTCCACCACCCTTTAAACCTGGGTGTTCTCATTCATATGAGCTGATTGAGTTTATTCTACAGGGATAACTGAATCAGCTCATGGGAACATAACATGGGTTAAGCGGCTCACCCTATCTTCTTCCATCGCTCCCTCTCTCTCTCGGTCTCTCTCCCTCTCTCTCTCTGTCTCTCGGTCATGTGAAAGGCATCAGGCAGCAGACTGAATGGAGCATCTGTCCTGTTTGCCTCCTGCTCTGCCTCCTCTCTGATGCTATCAGTGTTGACAGTGGTACTGTACGTCTGTGCACCTTGGGGCCGCAGATCCACTGCATCTGAATCTTCATAGACGTCAATAACAAATCGTAATATTGTTATTTTATTATTTTAGCTGAAAGTTTTGCTAATGTGGTCGTTTCTTTTGAATGAGACAATTCATGAGGACAATGTGTCGTGTGATTAATAAGGGAGACACATTTATAACAATAAGACACATTCAGAACACAGTCTGAAAACTATCATGTTTTATTTGTGTGAGCTTTTTCCTACTCTGACACCCAAGTGTGTTAAACTTGTTAAACTCCAGGATCATGAGTCCTCGGCTCAGGTTCAGTGAATCCTGCATCATAAACACTCAGGTTTGTGCTTTGACTTGAAAAACTCATGTAAACATCCCGAAGCATTTGTTCGTTCTGCGTAAGTCTCATGTCCGGCTGTGATCAAATGTCATGAGACCCATGAAACATGAAACAGGTCCTCATGAGCGATGTTCTCACACCAAATGCACGATGATTAGAGGAGGAGCTTCGATGCTGGCTTTGGTTTTATCAGATATCACGATTTTACCTAATTCTAGTTCATGCAATTATTTTCATGGTTGGTCATGCTTGAATTTCTGTCACATTTTTATGCTTTTATGATTGTATTTTTATTTTTAATGCTTTTTTATTTGTGGGTTGTATTATTATTATTATCAGTGTTTTTATTAGTAGTATTATAGTAACATTCGTATTATTAGTATTGGTATTAGTATTAACATATATATATAAATACATTACTATTTTGAATCTGCTGCATTACAATAGTGTCCTATTATATTGTTAGTAGCTTCAGGATACGACATCATCACCCTGGTCTCTCGGTTAATTTTCTGATCTTTAGAGTCGTGAGTGTCGGCCCTCGGGGCAGCAACTTGTCTATACAGACCAGACCTATGACCTCTCTGTGACTTCTGACCCTAACACTTGGGTGGGATCCTGAGAAGATTATGGAAAAAGTTTCCCATGAAAAATTGAAGAATAAACATTTTACCATTGGGTAGATTGAGGTTGATGGTAACTTCAGTGCGTTTGAGACACAGAGCGACACAAACCGTCTCTAATGTTGGTATAAAAAGTTTGCTGTGCTCCTCCCTGATGCAGGGTTCGACTTACAGGAGACGTGTTGGATTAGTATTAAAAGTCAAAAGTTCAAGTCATCCTGGTAAACCGATGATCACCTGAGCAATCTCCAGGTTGGCCTCCTCCCCAGTCTCTTCTTTATCTACAAAAAAAAAAAACAGACCTCAGTTACCCCCCCACATAGACAATAAGTCGTGTCGTTTTATCAGAGCAGAGTAATAAGCCTGTGATGGTTGGTGTGTGTCTGAGATAAACACATTTGCACCAGAGCTCATGACAAATATGTTATGCCACAGAAGTCAGGGGTGGGACAGTGAGGTTCTTCAGCAGTCATGTGAAAGTGCTGCACGCTTCTCAGAAATACTGCGTGCGGCATCAGAAAAATACCCTGCAACCACAAGCACCATCTTCCCTCCTCATACATCAGTTTTCCTGTGGTTTGTGGTAACTGTAGGTCCATGAGCGTGCTGTTCCCTCTAAACAGCAGCTTGGGGAAGTGTCTCCTGATGGACTCACACATCCTCTGTAGCTGCAGGCGCGTGTTTATAAAATGGTCGGACTATTGGAGGAAAGTGCTCCGCAAGGACGTACAAGATTTACGATGGATTTTTCTTCACAGTTAACTGGTTGTATAAAAAGCACAAAGCTTCTGTTTATTGTGGAAATGTCTCTGGTCAAAGCCGCTGTCAAGGTTAATGAGGGTCCCTCCACAGACTCTATATAAAAAGGGGTCTTCGGAAATATGTGGCCCCTCAACATACATTATCATGCATAATTAACAAGGCACGTTAGACACAATGTGCCACGTCTGTGCTGTGTAACATTTCCAAACTGTGAGAGAGCAAATGAAGGAACATACGGCGGCCAACAAAGGACTCTTTCTTCTGTCTACAGGACTCGACGGTATGACAAATTTCCTCTGACGACTTTGGTTTGTGCTGTTGGCCTCAGTTGTTACAGGCCCGAGAGCAGCGGTACCAGAGAGACGTCAAACTTTGAGACACAGAAGGGAAACTAGAAGCAGAGAGATCGATGACGGCTAGACCGGCTTATTGATCAGGTGTATGTCGGCTGCTAGGTTACATGTGATTGTTGTACGAGATACCAAAGATATGTTTGATGTTTCACAGAATGTTTCCGTTTTTATTCCCACTCCTCACCGTGAACGTTTCTCTTCTTGCTCTATGGAACTTTAATGAGTGGGTTCGATCTCCTGTGAGAAGTGTGGAACTGATTCAGAATCAGGTCCAGCAAGTTGAAGAGTAAAGCTGAACTGTAGATCAGTTGAAAAGACTTGAGTTTATCTCCAATGTTCAGCAAGAAAACTTTAAAAATATAATATAATTCTCAACAGTTTGATGGATTTGTTGTAGCAGCAGCTCCTCTGGTTCAGGAAATCGAGGATCATGGGTATCATCCAGCGTTCAGCGGTGTTTCAGTTCAGTGAGTGGGACGACACAGTCAGAGCTCCACTCAACACGATGATAGATAATTTTTCCTCTACATGAAAACTTCTTAATCAACACAGAGCCTCAAAATAATTAACCCACCACCTGTGACTGAAAATAAAAGAAAACCTGACATAAAACTTTTAAAAGTGTACAACTGGTTCCGGGGTCTTATTTGCTCATTGGAAACCAGTTATTGTGAAGGATTTTCTTTCAAACCTGTACGAGTCAAAATGTCTGATGTGAAAAAGGTTTGTCCTCAACTCTCAAATATCATAATCAGCCTCACAATTACGTATCAGTCAGGCTTTATTTTCCTATACATGGTTTTCTCCGGCTCCATCACTGAAAATGGAAAGATCCAAATTCATCTTTGCAGATATGTTGTGATCCGGTCACCTGTTGACTCATGTTGTGCTATAACACCTTGAATAAGTTCCACTGATAACTCAAGTTTAAACGGGATGAACTTATGAGGGGGTCATGACACTATGGCAGCGTGACCATGCCGAGGATGACCTAATCAAATTATATTTTCCAATCGGATTTAGCAATAAGGAAATACTCGTGATTGTAGCCCTGCATCACCGCGTTATTATAAAGCTATGGGATTTGATGAGATGCTGCTTTTAACTTGGTCTTTTCAGGAGAAAAAAACAGACTGACATTGGATGAGGTGATGGCTTTAGTGCATTGTCACCTAATGTTCCATGATACACCTCCTCTATAATGCTGCAGCAGTGAGATGGTGGATGGTAACTAAAAAAATCCATAAGGTTTTCACAACCAGTCGGCTAATTCATCAATTAATTAGGAGACAAATTAATCAGCTACGACAGTTGCAGGTCCAGAAAAAAACAGAACTGCTCAAAGTTTACAGATTAAGTTTTGTGACACCTGTTTTACCTTCTGACACGCCCTCCGTCATTTCTTCTGTTCTTCCATTTTCCATGTTTAAGTCCGCTGTGGTCCAATCCACTGCTGTCCAGGTCTGATGTCCTCCACCAGCTCAGGAAGACTTCAGCCTGCTCCTCCGCCGTCTTCTCCTCTTCTGAACAACCCTGTCCTTTGCTGTGATCACTCACTTTCTCTCCTCCGAAGCATGTGAGTCCTATGATTTCTCCTCTGCACAAAAAGAGCCTTGTCTTCGCAGAGTTGAGGGACACAAGAGAAAGATCAGGGGGGGAGAGAGACGTTTGTTCATCATGCAGTCACTTACTGTTGCTAACTCATTAGATTGAAGGAGGCGTGACTGGCGGGTGATGAAGTGATGGACACAGCAGCTCTGATCAGGGAAAAATGAATTAAATGCTTCTGTTAACTTCGTCCGACACTTTGTCCGACAGCTGTTTGATGCAGAGCAAGTATATGTTCTGTTCACTTGAGCCGTCCATGCAAAGGGTCAGCAGTGTGAGGACGGACCAATCGGCCTCTTCACTGCAAGAACACGTTGTAATTCCAGTGTGTGTCATTCTTTTCTATGAAGTCTCTTCAAACAGACGTCAGAGGTCAACGGGTCAGAGTCTAAAGACACAACAGCACAAACACCCTCTGGCCATGAAGTGTAATTCTCCAGAAGAAGGACATTTACTCACAACTCTAACTACTCAACCAACAACTCAATGACCGATGCATTCAATTACTTTGAAGTAATAATTATTTAAAGGCTTGTGGTTCACTGGTTGTTTTTTGTATCTAAAAGCACCTTTGACTCAGCTCTTTAATAAATTCATAACATCATCATACTGTATTCTATTTCTATCATTCTACACACTTCTATATATCTTATTTGTATGTTTAAAAATAAATGTTCTTTTCATATATGTGCTTTGAGGTTTTAACTTATTTCGTGTCGTCTGTGCAGTTTTTGAATGTCCCTGTACAGACCTTGAATCTACCTCTGTACATGAAAGGTGCTTTATAAATAAAATAGCCTTGCCTATACTTTATCGGAGACTGTTTACATTTTAAATACAATAACTTTGAACTTTTATTCATTTCGTTTGAATACTTTTTCACAGTTTTACCGGTATTTTTACTTTTACTGGTAAAGTACGAATAACATTGGAATCTGTGTTATTGATATCGATTATAAACATACTACTTTATTATGAATATGTATTATTACCATAGAATGTATATAAAGAGCTTATTACCTTAATAATGCATTGTTAATATTGATTATTACACAATAATGCATTGTTAATATTGATTATTACATTAATACTTTATTATTCATGTTGATTATGATTAATATGTATTACTACCATAATAATATATTATTAACATTGATTATTACCCCAATACTTTATTATTAATATTGATTATTAACCTAATACTTTATTATTAATATCGATTATTACCTTGACTGAACCAGGGCTTTAATCCGGGATGTGTTTCCGGCATGGTGTGACGTCATTGAGCAGCTGACTGGAGGGAGGGGTTAGCAGTTAGCTGTTGTTAGCAGCTGATGTTAGCTCCGGTGTTCAGTGTGTGTGTGATGCTGTAGATCTCAGGTTCGAACCCTCAGTGCAACATGTCTCGGTTCAGCTCGGACGTGGAGGACGAGCAGGAGACCCCGCTGCTCCACCGGGGACACGAAGACAGAGCGCACAGAGGTAAAACACAGCTAGCTCCTTAGCTTTGTTGCTAACCGTTGTATGTAGCATGTAGCCGCGAGCTGCGCAAACATGTGTTTGAAACCTGCGTTGATTCTAAAAGTCTCATCGAGAGAAACTGGTTTAACTTCTGTCAGCCATAGATTCACACCGTGACACGTTCATGACAACAACAACAACAACACAACACGAGGACTGACTGAAGATCCAGTGTTTCTCTGTGGAGCTGCACCAGAGGACAGAGAAGCTCTACAGAGAAATCAATTTAAAATAATAATATAAAGCTCAACTAATCCAGTAAGAAGTAGGTTAGAAGTTACACAACTTAAATAAAACGAGTATAAAATGGAAAAAGCACACTTCATCAGAATGTGTCTTTAAAAGAGATTCAAATGAGGTTAAGGAGAAGTTGCAATGCGACATTTTGAATTCTCTGCATGTATTCTCTGAACTATTTATTCAAACCATCACAAGCAAAAGTGCTTCTGCTGCAGATTGAGCCTGTGTTTTATTGTTTAATCTTAATTATATATACATATATATAAATATACAAGAAGTGCTCAGTGGTCCAGTTGTCCAAGGTGGAGATACATTTAAACTATCAGTATATGTTTTCTGTTTAAAAACTTAATTTAAATATATGTAGCTGAGTCAGTTTCCATTCAAATGTAACCGAGCAGAGCAGAAAGATTTTTTTCTTTTCAGATAGATTGGGGGGGAAAAGTATTTTAATGGCACCGTCCACATTCTTGGTTTTACATCCTCCAGTCACAAGTTGAGGGACATTAACCAGGAGCAGGACAGAACGGCCACAGCTGAGATGGAATCTCATTTTCTTTTATGAGCTTCAAGTTTTTATTTGTCATATGCAAGTTAACACAGGGTCAACAGTACAATGAGGAGTTGGACAAGAAGAAACTGTTCAGCTCAGCAGTAGTTGCTGAATAGACAGAGGGAGAGAAGAGGATTTACCACTTTATCGTGAGCAATATACTGGAGCAGCAGTGGCTTTACATGTCTTATCAGCAAGTCGTTCCAGTTCCACTGTCTTTCTCAGGCACTACATTTAACTTATGGAAATAGCCCGGAGAAGACATGATAAATACATAAGCGAAGAACTGAAACGACTAAAAGAAATTATTAAAAACTGGAATCACCAGATTGTTTCTGCTTGAAAAATTAACAAACACTTTATTTCCAAAAGCTTTTGACCTTGAAAATTTTATCTAATTTACAGACTCACCTATAATATTATAAATGACACGCACAGTATTATCTAACATGTCCCGCTATCTCCTCATCTCTCACTCTGCAGCTCCAGCATGCTGTTCATCCCGCTATGGCCTGGCGCTGCTCTCCTCTTACGGCTTCTTTGTGGTCTACTCTCTGAGGGTGAACCTCAGCGTGGCGATGGTGGACATGCTTAACAACACTCATCAGTCCAGCGGCAACCACAGCGGCACAGTGTGTCCCACTCACGCCAACCCTGCACGGCCCAAACACAACCACACGGTGAGCACGAGCGTGACGGTGGCTGAGTCACACCATGTGATTCTATCCACAGCAGAGGTTAGGATGATTAACTGTTCTTTCAGAGCTGGTATGGTTTAATCCCACATTAGAGAATTTCCTTCATACGTGAAGTCTGTTTTGCCAAGAAACAACATCTGAGAAGCACCATCAATGAAGGGCTTTAAAATGACCTTTGGAAAACAATGAGTAACACTGCAATCATGCTTTTCTCCGTATTTGTGTCCTTTCCATGGAAAAAAAAAAAGGAAAGCACGTCAAAGATAAATGAATCAGGAGGCTGGAGTCGACGTCACATTGAGCCGTTTTTCAGTTTCAGAAAAAAATGATCCGGGGGTAAACAACATTCTGGTTTGTATCTGTTAGAGGTGGATTGTACAGCTTTAAAAAAAAGTTCTGTGCAGAGTAACAAGAAGGTAGAGAGAGACTCACAGACATATGAGACGCATACAGAAACACACATTCAGAAACTTTCATTCCTGTCTTTATTTTTTAAAAGTCACAATACTTGATCCTGCCTCATAGTTCTCAACGCCGCCCCCTTACAGGCCAGCGTGTACGACTGGGACTCGGAGACGCAGGGCTGGATTCTCGGCTCCTTCTTCTACGGCTACATCCTGACACAGATCCCTGGCGGCTTCCTGGCGGGACGCTATGGACCCAAGTGGCTGATGGGTTTTGGAATCCTGGGAACTGTAGTTTTTACACTGCTCACCCCTGTGGCTGCCGACCTGGGTGCAAGCTATCTCATTGCTGTCAGGGTGCTGGAGGGGGTCGGAGAGGTAGGAGGAGTGGAAATGATTTATGCACACGTTGTTTGTACCGTAAACAAAAGCTGTATTGACGCCGTATGTGAAATCTGTATTAAATTGATGTCTGAGCTCCCACAGTCAGCTGTGTGTTAAAACAGCCGGACCTATGAATACAGGGATAGTTTGTATACACCTATAATCAGATGACTGGTACGACTGTGTACGTGTGTGTCCTCCCTCCCTTCATGTCCTTGTTTGTCTTCAGGGAGTCACATTTCCTGCAATGTACACCATGTGGGCAGCGTGGGCTCCGCCGCTGGAGAGGAGCCGGCTGCTCACCATCTCCTACGTTGGTAAGACAAAGCAGTCAGCGGGAGAACAATGGCGATACAGTGAAAAATGTTTTGCAGCTAAACATGAAAAACCACAGAAAGACATAAAATTTGGGGCAGTGTGAAATCTTGATCTCCTTTTAACCACGTTCATCGAAGGAGCTCGGCCTTATCATCTGTCCCATGACTGCTCGTGTGGACTCTCTCTGTATAATCATCACTCAGCAGTTAACGCCCTGTGCATTCACAGCTGTTTGTATTTGCTCCTCTCTCCCCAGGAGCCCAGCTGGGGACGGTGATATCTCTTCCTCTGTCGGGGGAAATCTGCTTCTACCTCGACTGGACCTACGTGTTCTACGTGTTTGGTAAAACAGCTGGGAAAAGATGATGGGAGGGGAGGGGCACGAGCTTCCTGCTTTAAAGGAGAAATCCACCATGTCTGCAAACACCAAATCTAGATTTTTGTAAATGCAGAGGTGAAGTCTTGTAGGAGTAGTGTTGGACTATCTTTTTATCTTTAAATCTTCGGATTTAAACGTAGTGAGCGATTCAAACTTTTAAAAGTTTTGCTTGGAACTTACAAAATTAGGAATTCAAATTTAAAAGTAATGAGAAACACTTAAAACACTATTTATGAAGCAAAAGTTTCCAAATTATGTCTACGTTCTGCAAGTGGCATCTCCACATTGAGTTTTTTTCCTTCGATCCTTCCTCTACAGACGAGTTGTCACATTTCAGATAAGCAGTTTCAGCGTCTGCTCCTTTGTTCCTCTTAAGTCAGTGGAAATCAATGATTTAGCAAAAAATGTGCTTACCGATGGATTCTCTGAAGAAGTCTTGTTTAATTGTTTGCCCACACACACTTATATCCTCAGTGGATATGACTAAATTAAAAGTAATAAGTTACTTGGTTCAGTTTCAGGAAGCAAATATCCAGTGTTTTCTGATATGTTGCACTTCTTCTTTCACACGATGGAGGATTTACGCTACACAGACGTCAGCCATCGATCTTCGTGTGTCGTCTAACAGGTCTTTTGTTTCTCCAGGTGCTGTTGGTCTGGTGTGGTTCATCTTGTGGGCTTTTCTCGTCTTCGACAGTCCAAACACTCACCCACGGATATCAGAGCGGGAGAGACTCTACATCACCAACTCACTCAAGAACGAGGTATCACCAGAAACCTTGGAAACTTTTAAAAAGTGAAAAACAAAGTTTTCAGAGGTTCATGGAAATGGTTGTGCAGCTCGGGCAGATGTTCCAGTGGTGTCTTTAAGCTGTTTGATAAAAACTGTATTTTGTTTCACTTCTCCACAAGAGACTCATGAGAATTGTGATTACTTTTGTATATTCAACTGTTGTGTAATTGTAGATTATCTCTAATTGTCACTTGTGATGTTCTTTTCTCCGCACTATAGCAGAGACAGTGGCAGCAGTGTTTCATGCTTTCAGGCATTTCCGCTCCAGCGCAGTTATCTGATGCTAATGTTACATAATCTCTGTGTATTGCATAAATGTAATTCTCTTATCTGTCTTCCTCAGCTGCTTGGTCACAACACAACACCCGTTATTCAGACTTTCAGCTGCTTTCAATTCTCTACATGTTCACACTGAGGCAGGATTCACCGTTTTAACTGACGTGTGTGTCCACTCAGATTCTCCATCAGCTTGTACGATGTTTGAAAACCGTTGGTTATGAAAATGTTAGACCATGGAGGTTATGTTGTATATCAGTGTGTTACTATACCGTTCATTTATTAAGACTCCAGACGCTGATAAACATCGATTATTTTTACAAAAAAACTAAAAAAAAGTTTTTAATCTGTAAACCAAGACAGAACAAGGCTGACAACCTAAATATTTTTCTGTCCAGCAGGGGGAGGAAAAGTTCACACAAAATATAAAACCACCAGGAAATTCAACAGAGGCTCCAAGATTATAAAACCAACACTGTTCTCTCCTATGAGGCTTGTTTCCTTTAATTCAGTCAAAATATTTTATTTGTTTTGATTCAGTGCAACTTAGATCTTCTCGTCCCATTTCTCTTACCCAGCGTATATATTTACACGTTAGTTATGGCAGAAGTTTATGTTTTCAATTGTCCTGATCAACCTGTTCCCTGTGTTCTTCCTCCCTTGTGATCCAGCTGTCCACCTCTGCAGGCTACATCCCCTGGAGAGCCATCGTGACCTCCAGGCCGCTGTGGGCCATCGTCGTGGCTCACTTCTCCTACAACTGGACCTTCTACACCCTCCTCACCCTGCTGCCGACCTACATGAACAACGTCCTGGGATTCAGCATTCAGCAGGTGACGTCAACATCACACACACATTCATATGATAATATTCAAATGATTAACATCTTGTCCTTTGTTAGAAGGAATAATGAATGGAACCAAAGTAGTAGACGAGGGACATACGTGGATAAAAAATAAAAATCTAAACACTATGGAATGCACTTGAATCGTAGATTGGTTTTTCATCAAAAAATGAAAATGTTGTTAATAATAAATAAATGAACACAATGTGTTGTTGTGTCCTGTCCACCACAGAATGGTTTACTGTCAGCTCTGCCTTATTTGGGCTGTGCAGTGTTCGCTGTGCTGAGTGGTCAGATTGCCGATTACCTGCGGGAAACCTGCCAGTGTCCCACAGTCACCGTCAGGAAGGTGTTCTCCCTCATCGGTAAGAAACATCACGGCTGAATCGTGGATTCTGTCACTCGGAGTCCATCACGTCTACCTGGTGTGAAGAGGTTTTCCACGGTAACGGTGTTTGTTCTGCAGGTATGATCGGGCCGGCCGTGTTCCTGGTGGCAGCGGGTTACACAGGCTGTGACTACATTCTGGCCATCACCTTCCTCACCATCTCCTCCTCTCTGGGTGGAGTGTCGGCCTCTGGATTCAACATCAACCACCTGGACATTGCACCTTCGTAAGAAACTCTGGAAAACAAATTCAACATATACATACGGACTTTATGAACACATTTATCAATTATAGTACTTGTGCCATTTAAGAAACTGTAACCCTAGATTGCAAACCCTGATATTGTACAGTTAACTATGCTGCTAACACGTAGACAATACATACTTCAGTTAGTTTCTCCGAGTAATCAACACTTGTCACATTTAATAATCTGTTTGTTTATCTTCATAGGTATGCTGGGATCCTGCTGGGGATCACAAACACCTTTGCCACCATTCCTGGAATGGTGGGACCAGTCATAGCAAGAGCCCTCACCACAAATGTAAGAGTCACACGTCAACTCACGACCTGTGTGGAAACCTAATCTAGACCGATGAGCCATAGTGAAGTTTGTTGTTCCATGATTACACCTCCAAACATGGTGATGAATGAGGCAGCTCATTTTTTAAATATCCGAGTGTGAAAACAGGATGACATTAATAATCCAAAAGTGCCTTTTAAATTCTTCTGTCTACCTAAACATCCATTTTTGATCAGTGTTTTGAAAATGACTCAGTTTCTCTCCCCTGCTGTGCTGCCTCTCCTGTAGAACACCATAGAAGAATGGCAGACGGTCTTTTACATCGCTGCATCCATCAACCTGATCGGAGCAGCTTTCTACACCGTGTTCGGCCGAGGAACCGTGCAGCCCTGGGCCGTCCACACGTCCCTTTCTCATCACGGAGACTGAGGCGGAAGACGAGCACCGGACCCCGTTTCCTTGATTCCGATTATTCAGACCGACAAATCACAATCGTGGGTTTTTACTCTACAGGTAGTTTCAGCGACAGATGTGCTCCAGCTGCGCTGCTAATTCGCAAAGCAAAGTAACAGTGAGTAACAGCCGTGACACTTTCAAGGATACCTTTTCTGTGACCGTGGGCACTGATGAACCTGCAGTCACAGGAGTGGAAAAAGCAGATTGCACCTTTAGTTAAGCAGAAATGCTTTGGAGACAAAATAATAATTTAGCAAAGCCAAAGAAACACTGTGTTAATCTATAAGTGAATCTGAGGCTCCTTAGTAGGAGGGTAAGCACTGTAATCATCAGCGAGTTAGATAAGATAATCCGTTATTACGCCCACTACGCGGATAGTGAAAATATACACGTCTGTAAAGCTAATAAATACATAACCACTAACACGGGGACATATCAAATACACAACGTCAACAGAATTTATACTGTGTAATATAACTTCAACTTTAAAGGTCAGTTAATGCAGTTTAGATAGTTCAAGCTTAATGAATATATCACGATAAACTGTGAAAGAGCATTTATCCCACTTCTGTTACTTTGTGGTTTTCAGGGTTACTAGTCAAACCAAATTCTGTTACTTCTGCCTCCAGAGCACTTCTGCTTTTATTATTTTACCCCAGAATTCCACAGTAAGTTTTGAGTTTTATTGCCAGAGTAAAAGTCTAAACTCTTCAGACGGACGTTTTTTTACACTTCTGCGTGTACATTTTGGGAAAACACAAAACCTGCTACTTTAAAACCCATAATTAAGAGCCAGTAATACTTAGTTCACACTGATTTTCTTCTTGCCAACACATTTTAAAACTTGCAGCCAAAAAGCCACAGTTAGGAGCCAAATCAGAGTTCGATCTGCAGTCGCTAATCGATACGTGTGAACTCTTTGAGGACTCTTGCCAACACGTCACCAGATGAATTAACGACCACTGACTTTGAAAGTGGTGTAGTCTGAACTTGGCGTAAGTGTTTAAACTGTTAAAACAGATGTGTCATCCCAAACCAGATGGACACAGAGTGGATAACGTCTTTTTGTTGTAGAGTAGATTAAGACCTCACAGCACGCACAAACACTTTTTGGGGGAAATGCCTGACAGTGACGCCTCCTTCAATGATTTTAAAGCTCTTTGTCTTCAATAGGTCTCATTTTTTTTTTAAGTAATATACGAAAGATCCTGGACTTGAGATTCGTCGAGAGGTTTTTCCTCTCATTCGAAAGGTTTGTCTTTTTTTTTTGTAATCTTTTATTTTTTTAATGTACGTACTCAGATGGTGCAGTAAAGGGATTGTTTGTGCACAACAAGATGTTCTCAGGTTGTCCACCAGGAACCTCTTTAGTAGCAGCCTTGAATTAATGTCTGTGGAAAGTGCTGGTCATGATTTTCCAGTCTGTAACACTAAGTTGTTGTTGCCTTTCTTAGAAAAGGGAAAAGAAATCTGTGCTTTGAAAGAGTTTCCTGATGGACACAGACTCGTTTTATTCACAGAATCTTTCTGTGCCAATCCTCAGGTATCTTGTGTCATACAGGGACGACAAAGGGAGATCATTTATGTTTTAAATCTTGCTCCACCACATCCAGGTATATGTCCTCAGTTTTTAAATTGGCTAGTTTTACAATCATTTCAAATTTCATAGTTAATACCTGATAGAGCCACCATGGAAGTTGCACTGCAGCATTAGCTTTATCTGACCGGTTGAATATAATTTTTCCATAAGGTTTTCTCCCTTTGGAACATTTAGTCGTTATTTCCGTCAACAAGTAGCACGATCGTCCCATTTCAAGACGGAAACGTACTTGTGCCTTATTACATTATCTTAAAAAGGGAATCGGACAGTTCAGGTGTGTTTCATTGTTATTTTTTATGATTCCTTCTGTTCGCTGCTTTTTTTTTTTTCTTACTTCAGTTTTACATTCATGTCGAGAGTAAAGGGACTTTTGTATGATATGCTGTATATAAACTACACCAAGTGAAATCATTGTAAACTTTCACCCTGGAAACATTCCAGAAAGAATGTCTTAAATCAGTGTCATGTTCTGTAAATACTTCATCACATACAGCTATGCTTCAATCTGATGTCCTGTTGGGTTTTTATTTCATTATTCGGAACAATGTGCTTTTCTTTACTGCAGACGATCTAATGGAAGAGTGCACCTACTGAAACATTTACTGTTATTTCAAATGTGTATTTGCACGGTATGACAAGTTTGATATGGATAGATACCTGGTTGATCCAGGGGCATCCAAATTTAAGCAAAAGGTCAAATTAATGTCAAGAATAAGTAGTTTATCCACCAGAACTACTACAAAGCTGTCACCGTAGAGAAGTATGTGCTAATATTTGAAGTATAAAGTAATTGAAAGACACAAGTAACCGAGGTATTGCAGCCAAATATAAATACAGATTTAAAGATGAATAACTGAAGCCATATAAAGTAAAGTACACGCATATAAACGTGGAGACGTTTCTGGCACACGATCACTTTTTGGCATGACACGCGTCCGATGCTGTGGCGGCAGCGGGTGCGCGCAATTACGCAACAACCCCCCCCCCCCCGCCCGTCCCGTCCTGTGAGCTAAGCACCGGATCAGCGTCTCTCCTCGGCCGCTGCAGCCGCACCTGACACCGGACAGCTCCTCAGGTACGACCCGGTGCAGAGGAGGTAGATTTTTCCACCATGGTGCCATCGAAACAAACGAGGAGCGCGTTGGTCCCGCGGCGCCTCGACCTCCAGCCTGGGGAATGTTGTTGTGATGCCCAGAGGAGGGCAGACGGCTGGTGGGTAATACGCATCCTGGCGTCAGTGAGCGGGCAGCTGACAGAACATGGCGGAGGGTTCACGCTTCCATTCCAGCGTCCGTGAAAAGACGTGAGGTTCCCCGCAGTGGCTCCTGTTATCCACGGTGATGTTAGGACGTGTGGATAAAAGCGCACTGCGGCAGCCGTGGTGACATTACACACGAGGGATGAGAGAAGTGCGCGCGTGTGAAATGTTGGGTTCACCTGTGTGCACGAGATCATGTGAGGATTCATGTCACATGTCGGATTGTTCTGTTCAGGAATAAGTTGATTCAGAATGAATCCTCACTCTGGTGGATTATTTCACTGAAAGCTCTGCAGTGCATGTGTGAAGACTTTCAGTTCAGAGTTGTCACCATGACTCCTGCAGAGTCAACAACAGTGCGTGTGTGTGTGTGTGTGTGTACTGTGTCCTGCATTAACCCAGTGCAGTGTGAGAAATGGATGCTACACTGTCTGTTTGGATTTAGGACCCGACAAAATGGTGGATTCTGGCTCAGGGAGAAGCTGTCGGTTAAAGTCTGTGGCAGAGGATGATGCTGGAGCCTTGTTGTGGTGATGTGCTGGTGCACAGGGGAGCAGGGGTGTGGAGGGATAGAGAAATAGAGAGTATATAGGAGGGGCAGAGGGTTTTGTGCCTGGCGCAGTTCAGGGACTATTGATACCACCCCCTAATCTTCAGACACAAACATGCATCTCCTGTCAAAGAGCCGTGGAGGTCAGTAAATTCAGTTTGAGAGACTCAGGATAAAACAGAGAAGTCAGAAAAGGGATTAACGTCTCTCCTTCCATGTGCAGGATTTTAAAATCCTTTCAAATTCTTTCTGCACCAGTGGCTTGGGTGAAGCGTTAGCGTCCGACTGGAGCTACTGCCGACTCTCCATCTGTGTAATCCTGCGAGGAGGTTGAGCCTTATTCAGTAGTTTCTCCCACCCTCGAAGATTACTTTGTTATACTGTCCATCGTAATAACTAGTGCATGAAGGGTTTCTGTTTCCTGCCCTGGGAACCATCTGCATATCGAACTAACTGTAACTTAACCCTGGCTTTGGCAGATAGTCTGTCTCCTGAGCTCAGCTCCCGTCTCCAGTCGCCATGGGAAAGGAGAAGCTCCACATCAACATTGTTGTGATCGGCCATGTGGACTCCGGTAAGTCCACCACCACGGGCCACCTTATCTACAAGTGCGGGGGCATCGACAAGAGAACCATCGAGAAGTTTGAAAAGGAGGCAGCAGAGGTGAGTCGGTGGAGGAAAGAGGAAGATGAGGACTCCCACCACTCAGTCAGACTGTCTCTGATCTCTATCGATTACTCCTCAGATGGGGAAGGGGTCATTCAAATACGCCTGGGTGCTGGACAAGCTGAAGGCAGAGAGGGAGCGTGGCATTACCATCGACATCTCACTCTGGAAGTTTGAGACCAGCAAGTACTATGTGACGATCATCGACGCCCCGGGTCACAGGGACTTCATCAAGAACATGATCACTGGGACCTCACAGGTTTGTAACATGAGCGCTCAGCCACTGTGTGTATACAGCATGTAGTATTCTACAGTAATACATGCTGCACTTCACTAACACAGTTACAGTGACAGAGAGAACAGATCTGTATTCCTCTGTAAACAATAACACAAGCAGCAGCAAGTTCAATTTCAAATTCAAAAGGTTGAAGAAATGACATTTGTGACTTGACTCTACAAAAGTTAAACGATAAAACTTTTCAAAACTCTTAAAACACCAACACAAGCAAAAATGTTTCCTCTCCTGCATCCTCAGGCAGACTGCGCTGTGCTGATTGTGGCCGCCGGTGTCGGAGAGTTCGAGGCGGGCATCTCCAAGAACGGACAAACCCGTGAGCACGCCCTCCTGGCCTACACCCTGGGAGTGAAGCAGCTCATCGTGGGCATCAACAAGATGGATTCCACTGAGCCAAACTACAGCCAGAAACGTTATGAGGAGATTGTGAAGGAAGTGAGCACTTACATCAAGAAGATCGGCTACAATCCGGACACTGTCGCCTTTGTGCCCATTTCAGGCTGGAATGGAGACAACATGCTCGAGCCCAGCCCCAATGTAAGTAGAACACAGCAGAACACAAATGAATTCCGATTATTAGACCTGTGCAGCCTTGAATTTGAATACTCATTTGTATATGAGGTGTACAGAGAGCTGTAGTTCCGAGTTGATGCAGTTGCTGAGACTGTAGATGGATTCAAATCAGACCAGTGAAAGAGTGAGTAACCATCTCCCCTTAGAGGTGTCCTGGTGTTTGGTATTTAACACAGTTCTAAGTAACCTCTGCTTAAACTAAGTTTATGTCAGAACTGAATCAGTACTGTCAGACACAAGGCCGCTGACATGCAAGTTAAGTAACAATAGATGCTGAAACAATGAAATGGCTCAAAGTCTTGCTTTAATAACCGGACTGTAGAAAATGTTAAGTTCTGTATTGTATGATTTCCTTCTTTCTAGATGACCTGGTTTAAAGGTTGGAAGATCAATAAGAAAGAAGGCAACGCATCAGGGACCACTCTCCTGGAGGCGCTGGATGCCATCCAGCCACCCAGCCGTCCAACAGACAAACCTCTACGGTTGCCCCTGCAGGATGTCTACAAGATAGGAGGCACGTAATGTTACTCCATCACTGGGAGATAGGGGATCAATCAGTATGAGACTGTGCTACGTTTATAATCACTTCTTTAATCATATCTGTCCTGACGCTTTCTTCTCGCAGGTATTGGAACAGTGCCGGTGGGCCGAGTGGAAACCGGTGTACTTAAGCCTGGCATGGTCGTGACCTTTGCCCCCGTCAATGTGACGACTGAGGTCAAGTCTGTGGAGATGCACCATGAGGCTCTGACTGAGGCCCTCCCTGGTGACAACGTGGGCTTCAACGTCAAAAACGTGTCCGTCAAAGACATTCGCCGCGGCAACGTGGCTGGCGATAGCAAGAATGACCCCCCACAGGAAGCTGCCAATTTCACGGCTCAGGTAGGAATCACAGAGGATCTATTTCCAGAAATGAAACATGGGCAAGATTTAAAAAAACTCTGCTCAGTCGGAACTATTCTCAGACTTGAGAAAGGTTTCCTGTTATGAAGCATCAATACAGATTTATTTTAAGAAAAGCCATCTTTGAATCTTACTTTATCCACATTGTCACATCCAAAACTTTGTCATCGTGCTGCATATATTCTGTGAACTTTCTACACTCCCAGAGAAGACACAGGGGGAAGATATCATAGTCAGATAACCATAGCAACAAGAGCCAACAGTCAAAATCTTTGCTGTAAACAGTGAGGGAAATAATCTTTCTATTAATAGACCATCTATTGCTTTGTAGGTGATCATCCTGAACCACCCCGGCCAGATCAGTGCTGGTTATGCTCCCGTGCTCGACTGCCACACTGCTCACATCGCCTGCAAGTTTGCTGAGCTCAAGGAAAAGATTGATCGCCGGTCCGGCAAGAAGCTGGAGGACAATCCCAAATCCCTCAAGTCCGGAGATGCGGCCATTGTGGATATGATTCCTGGCAAACCCATGTGTGTTGAAAGCTTCTCTGAGTACCCTCCACTGGGTAAGATCAAGTGTGAAGGATTTGAAGAATTTCAACAGCATCACCATACACTAACCCGCATAGAAAGCTGTGTGATTCCACTGTAAACTATGCCACATCAACTAAAATGTCCATCTTCACTCCTCTTCGCCCTGCAGGTCGCTTTGCGGTGCGAGACATGCGTCAAACCGTGGCTGTCGGCGTGATTAAGGGCGTGGAGAAGAAGGTCTCCACAACTGGTAAAGTTACCAAGTCAGCCCAGAAGGCCCAGAAGACCAAATGAATGTTGTGCTACTCTGCCGACCCCAAGGTCTCCCAGGGCAGGACATCAGTCATCCCACTTCATCCTACAGTTGGCTGCTTCAACGTAATAACCAAAGGCTGGTTAATCATCACAATGCATCGCAAAAGTATTCGAAGGAAAGAACAACCTTTAGATCTTTAGTCCTTGAGGCGGTAGTCCTTCATGTATTTCAGTGGTTAGATTACCATTTCGTACAATGTAATATCAAACATATAGTTTTAAATGTGCACTGTTGATTTGACACCTTTCTGTGGTCATGAGAAACCTTTAGAGGGACTGTAATTTATCATATCTCTAGCTCTCTGGATTGCAGATCTCTTAATATGGTACATGTTGTCTTGCTTTTAGTGTTTGTTTGCAGCTACATGGTAAGAGCACACGACAAGAAGTTAAACTATGTTCTTCTGAGTAATAGATTAGTGGAACTGAGTGATTTGTTGTGTTCAAGCTTTAAAAGGCACTCAAAACAAATGGTCCACATCAGCCTTTGGACTCAGAGTCGACCACCCGTCGACTCCTGAAGCACTTTGATTGGCGTTTTACTAACTTTGCACTTGCACTGGAGAAGCTTAAATTGGCATAAGCGACTGCACCTTATTGTAAGATGGCATGAGCCTCTTTGCAACATTAAAAATGTTTCAACCAAAATATCGGTTTGGGGTTTTTAGTCACTTTCTGAGTGTGATGCAAAGAAGGGACAGGGCAACAGACGCTCTAAACTTTAGTCCAACAAAACGTCTAATAAAAATCAGAGCATCCGTACAATACACACATTTGTCCACAAGGTGTAGCTATTGTAATGGATTTTGCTGTTATCAAACTGTCATTAATTTTTAACAATTTGTAACAGGATCATATGAAGACTTATTAATCACACACTGATTAGAGGAGATTAACATTTGATGCAGTTCTTAAATCTGTCACAGGAACAAGATGACTAAATATAATTTCCTCTCAAAGGCTTAAGGGCATTCTGCCAAGTAGTTAAGGGGCGTGCTCTCATACACTAAGAGGAAGAACTTAATAGAGTCATTTTATCAGAGTAGTTTCATAGCAGCACCATGACTGGCAGAGGGAGACCACGAAAGGCTGCGAGTCCTCAAACTGAATGTGCGAAGGGCAAAACCGAAACTGAAGAATATCCAGAGAATGGATTTACAGAAGAGAAGCAGAATGGTACAACCAGGAAACAGGAACCAAACCACATGGAACAGAGCACCCAAAAGAAAAAGACACCGAAAGACAACAAAAAGGCTCCTCCACGAGGTTCAAGAGCCAAAACAAAAGGAAAATCTGAGGTGGAGATAACGACACCACAGCCAGAGACACCAAGGGACAAAAAAAAAGACTCGGCAAAGGCTGCGAAAACAAAGAAATGTTCCGACAGGGCCAGGGAGGAGGAGACAGAGACAACACAGCCAAAGGACACCACCAAGACTTCTGTAAAGAGCACAAAAGCTAAAACCTGTGCTGGCAAAGACAAATTACCTGAGGACACAATGAAGACGCTGCCAAAGACGCCAAAGGCATCACACGTGGACTCTCTTCTATCCAAAACTCTGGAAAAATTGAAGATTAAGAAGAGTGACAAATCAAACACAGCAGAAGTCATCAATAACTTGATAAAACACATAATCAAGCATTTGAAGGAGAAGACTGCATGCTTTGAAAAAGTAGAGGCACTACATACTGGAAGTTACTATGAGAATGTGAAAGTAAGTTCTTCAAGGACGTAGGTTAGGAGTGCTGACCGTCAGATTAGAGGAGATTAACATTTGATGCAGTATCTTTAATGAAGTCATATGATACAGTGATGTTTTGTGTATACAGATTTCTAATCCTGATGAATTTGACGTCATGCTGTCCGTCCCTGTTGACCGGGTGAACCTAGAGCCATTTGGAGATGACGGAGCGTTTTATAGCGTGAAATTAAAACGAGACAAGAACCCGCTGTGGAAATTTCAGGAGGGGACCATTTTATCTGCCAATAAAATGCTGAGGGAGTTCAGGGAAGAGGTGAAGAAGTGCGTCAAGGCGTTTACAGGCAAGTACCAACATCTGAATGTGTGGTTGAATTACACGTCGATCCAACAGCTGCCCCACTCTGCCGGGCCGATGATCAGAAAACTGACGAGGTGTTTGAAGAAAAAACATTCTGGTGGAAACTTCTTTATTCTCATCTGGAGCATTTTGGTGCTTTAAATATAAAGATTATATCATTAGTACATTGTTTATTGTTGTGTGATCTTTTCTGTCTTCAAAGTAAAGAAACTAAGGAAGTTTTTTCAGATTGGGAGGTGACAAGAAAGAAACCTGGCTGTCCTGCGGTGACCCTGACGACTACAGTTGAATCTGTTACCATCTCCCTGGATGTTGTTCTCTGTATCATGGTCAAAACAAGCTGGCCACCTTTTACCAATGAGGGCTTTACAATCGAGGGCTGGTTGGGGACTAAAGTGAAGCAGGATTACAAGAAAAAGCCATTTTATCTTGTCCCAAAATACGAAGGCAGGGGATCAGTCGAGCAAGATGGCGTTTCTGCTCGAGGTGAGTAGCTCCTCCTCCTCCTCCTCCTCTGACTCACTGGTTACGTACATATACAGAATATTAGTTCTGAATCAAATGGTACTTCAGTAATAGCTTTTGAAATAATCCAGTTACGTCAGGGGGTTAATATGGGCTATACAAATAAAATGTGATTTGATTGAAGGAAGCTTCTACTTCCTCTGCACGTTGAGTAATTTTTCTTCTACAACTTACAGACACTTGGCGGATTTCATTCTCTCATGTTGAGAAGGGCATTCTGATGAATCACGGCTCGGAGAAGACGTGCTGTGAGAAACAAGGCCAACGCTGCTGCAGGTCAGATTGTCACGAACATATTCCTCATTAAGTAAACGCGGGATGAGTTTTTATTTCATACGGGTCAAGGGTTTCGGCTGGATGCTCAAAGTTAGATTTAAGATCTTTATATAATGCTGCTTAGATTGTCATACATGCAATCTGTTTCAGGATCATACCAACCGAAATATGAAAATATGGTTGATGGAAAACAAGTCCTGGAATTATTCATTATTTTCTTTTCCAGCACTTTACAACTGTATATGACAATATTTCATTATGATGTAGTTAAATCAAGTGTTTTGCAGTAAAACAATCTACTCTACTGTCATTTGTCCTGAGATCCCACAATTAATATCAAACTGAGGCGGTTTTTACCATTATTGAGAAAATAATTCAGACTTATATATTTATTTCATCCATCTGTATTTATCCAATATACCTAAGACACTTGTTTTCTTAGGCTTTTTAATTTTACATTGTTGTTATATTATTTGACTTCTTATTGCCTTTTCTGAGGAATGATGTATTTTTTTAAAGAATTTTCAAGATACCCCGAAACCATCTTATTTAATTCAAAACAGAAAAGAAGAAAAGTTCATCATAACTTATGTTTCTTTTTCTTTGCATTCAGGAAGGATTGTTTGAAGCTTCTGAAACACCTTCTCAGTCTGCTGAAAGAAAGACATTCTTCTTTTCAGAAGTTCTACTCCTACCAGGCCAAAACCACCCTGTTCCACGCCTGCAGCTCTAGAAATAAAGACAGCGACTGGAGCGTCTCCGACCTGAGAATCTGTTTTCATCAGCTGCTGGACGACTTTATAGGCTACCTGGAAAACGGTGTTCTCCCAAACTTCTTCATCCCAAGTCAGAACCTCCTCTCCGGTACTGACGAGAAGATGCGCCTTAGCCTGGCTAAATATATCAAGGAGGAGCGTGACAACGCCTTTCCTATTTTTACTTACACCTCATGTGAGATTTGAAATGACATCTTACCTGAAGCTGAGGGAACTGGTGCACACACACACAAGCTGGCGATGCAGGGAGACAAAAACAACTGCAATATAAAATGAAAAGCCACATGAATCTCCAGCTCATACATTATTTTATTCTTTTCTCATCTTTAGCATTTTTACTCATATTTATGCTACAATGTTGTGTGATATTCAAATTGTAATTGTTTCCCATTGTTTGCCTTCAAATCTTCATTTGTTTTTAAAGGTGGTATAAAAATAAAGATTTATATTATTCGTGTATGTACCATTATGGATTTGACAATATTTTAATAATGTGCCTCCAAGTACAGCCAACAAGAATTTTCTATCAAATTTGATTCTTCTTTTTCTTTACAATGCAACAATGGACTAAATGTTTCCAACAAGATTAAATTTCAGATTGTGTTGAGATTAATTGAAATCAATGGCCGCCTCACATAAGAAATACACATTTTAGAACAATACTTCCTCTTCAAGGAAATCTTACATTGCAGGGCAGAGCAGTTTCCTCTTCGTGTGCTAGTGAAAATCTCTTAATGCTGATGCAGGGCAGAACTTCCTGTGAAAAAACACAACGTGGTTAAGAAAGAACGCACTGTATTCACTCCTTCCAAGTTTAAATGATAACACAATTTACCTTAAGCATCTTTCAGTCAATATAGAAATACTGCAAAGCAGATGTAATCATTAAACGTCAAATGTGTCACAGATACGTCACCAAGTCAATAAAATATACACCGCCAGGTCTCTTCAAGAATTTATTAGACTGAAATGGTGTCAAGAAATGAGCTAACAAAATACTCAGAGCGATACAAAACACTGCAGTACAAAACCAAAGAAATCTGTACAAATTGTGCATTTTAAACATTTCTAAAACAGGAAGTCAACAAAATAAATAAAATACATATATAAAAGAAATATATATATATGCAAATGAAATTACAACACACATTTTCAGATTCTGCAACACAAAAAGAAAATGAACATTAGTCTTATTAGAATAACAGTTAAAGGTGTGAATGTTTAAGTTCTTAACTGTACGTTTCCACTTCCGTCTATGAATCTGTCGGGAACATTGTGGTTTGTGTGAACCTATATAGAAACAATTACATATTAGAAACCCCAGTTCTGGCTTCGATCTCTGCCTCCTCTCCCTCCGCTTTCTCTCCCTCCGCCTTCTCTCCTTCCCCCTCCTCCCCATCCCTGTCCTCCCCTCGGACTGCAAAGGTCCTTCTCCCTCTTGTGCTTCTCGTATCTCTCTGCCATGAGCACCAGCTCCTCAGGGACCTCCTGTAATCACAATGATTCCATGGCTTGTGAACCATTTAAAAAAACAGTAACACATGCTTCCTACATGCTTAAACTTTTCATGCCAGCTTCAGATTACAAATACAACTCAATCACACAAGTCATTGAGAATAATTCATGGATCTTAAAGGATTGAATGATTTTATATAAATCAGTGTTGTTTATAAAACTGATCAAGTGAAATTAATGTGGTCTCATAAGCGACAGTTTATCATGATTTATTCACAAAAAAACATAAAATCCTTCCTGTAACCTGCCCGACCTTCCTTTTAAAATTTAAACTCTGATTATGTGAATATAAATGTGTGTTAACCTGTCCCGCTCGCTCCAGGATAGGGATCAGTTCAGGGGCCATCCTCCAGTTGTCTCTTGTTACCAGGGTAACGGCAGCGCCTGAGCGTCTGGATCACAAAAGGACCAACATCACAAACTTATTAGAAAAAATCCAGAAACTGGCAGCGTTTTCCACATTGTGACCCCAGAACCCTGAGACCCTTACCCAGCTCGGCCAGTGCGGCCCACACGATGGACATACTCCTCTATGTTACGTGGAAAGTCAAAGTTAAAGACATGTGTTATGTCATGGACGTCCAACCCTCTGGATGCCAGGTCTGTGGCAACCAGGATACGAACTCGACCTGGAAGATAAAACTGATTTATTGTGAAAGCTTCATCCTGAACTTGTGACAGCTCGATGGCTTTGAGGTGAGAACACTGGCTAACCACCGAAACTTTCAGTATCCGTTTTCAGAGACATAGAAAGCTGATTTCCTTCCAGTGACGTACTCTCTTTAAAGTCCTTGAGGGCTTCTTCCCGGTCACACTGCTCACGGTCACCATGGAGACTCTGCACAGCCAGACCCTGCAGACACATGTCGCTGGACAAGTCATCGGCCCTGAGATTTGGAGACACAAACATACACACAGGACACCGTTAGTGTGGGTGTTACATGCAGTTTCCTGTTAGTGAGAAACTTCCTACTCACACAAGCTTCTTGCCAACAAAGATGAGGACTTTATCCTGCGGCAGCATGTTTTTGATGAAGTCAAACACGTAGGACTTTTTCTCTTCTTCGTGGACGATCAGCACAGTTTGCTCCACTGTGTTAACCGCCTAACAAGCACAGGATGGTTTGTAACATTTGGCATCTTGACTTTACTTATTTCCTCTGCAGCAGAGAAACAGGAGCAGACTTTGTACCCGATCAACACATGTAATGTTTCACTTACTGCCAAGTCCAGGGTGCCGACATAAACCATCATGGGATTCTTTAAGTAGGATTTGGACAGTCGTCTCACACCGGTGGGCCAGGTGGCACTGAAACACAGGAATTTACAATTTTTTTTAAAAAGTCTGTTTTTAATGAAAAAGTGTACATCAGACATTAACAGGGAAAATCTACATGAACGTCATTGTAAATTAAACAAATGCAGGGGTTGAATTTGTTTTTAAAAGTTTCTATTATCCATTTTCCAGTGGATAATATGGACCAATCCAAACTTTTGTCTGTAGAAAGTAATATGATGAAACACATCGTCTGACTGTATCACTTCATTTACTGGAACAACCACTCAAGTAGTTACTTGAAGCTCTGCTATGTTCTCTCAATGTGCTTCATCTGTACATGTCCTTGTATCCTGATCAATGACATTTGTATCAAGTGTGTCATGTGACTCAGACCTGGTCATGACGGTCTGTCGGTCAGGGCGGATGTCCAGGAGAATCTTCATTATCTGAGGTTCAAAGCCCATATCGAGCATTCGGTCAGCCTCGTCAAGCACCTGTTTCCATCGAGCGGAGTAGTTCATGAAACATTTAGGACAAAGAAAATACCACAGATCCAAAAAAAACTTCTGCTAAATTGATTTGTGGTCAAACTTAAGACCTGCAGAATTTCACAAACAGTGAGGCTGATGTTGCTTTTCATAGGAAAGTGATTTCTACTGAGTTGAGCAACGCTGAAATGTAAAAACACTGTAGGAAAAACAGTGTTAAAAATTGAAAGTCATACTATAAACAATGGATCCATCTTAACTCCTCAGACATAAACTAACATGCACAGACACAAACAGCTGACCAAGTAGGTGATAGAGCGAAGATTGATGAGCTCGTTCATCTGGAGATCGTTTAGTCGTCCTGGTGTGGCGATGACTATGTCCACTCCGTGCTTTACCGTGTTGATCTGTCCTTTCCTATCCCCTCCACCATAGATGCAGATACTGAGAGAGGGAACAGAAGAACGGTCAAAGTCAAGTTGCTTCTACAGTGCAATTAATTACTGGTTCAAAGCCAACCCTTAATGGTTCGTAACATAAGACTGCTGGACCTTTTGTAGCCTTTATAGCTGTACTTGTTGCACTCAGTTTCAATCTGCAGGGCCAGCTCTCGGGTGGGAGTCAGCACCAACATGCCAGGACCATTGCGCTCAGCCCTTGGTCTGCAAAGGGAGGAAACACAAATGATTTTGATAGTCAAGCGAGTACAAAATTTAAATTAATGAAACTAAATAAGTGCTTTCAACACCTAAAAGTTAAGACGTAAGGAACAGATCTGCTACTCACACAGGCTGCCCGTCCATATGGATGAACCCTGGCAGCAGGTAAGCCAGAGTTTTCCCAGTTCCTGTCTGAGCAATGGCTATCAGGTCCTCTCCACTCATCAACACTGGCCATGCCTGAGACTGAAACAAGCAATGTACTGTGTTTAGAAAAAAGACTGAATGCACAAAAAAAAAGGGAACAGATTGATGAAGTAACAAATTAAAAAGAAAATTCACAAATGACATGACAGAAGTTTGGAACACTTATATGTGTTGATAACAACTAAAATAAACGTCACATGGTAATTAAGTGAGCTTCTGGTCACAGAACTGTTTCCAAAGAAAACGTTTGCTGAACTGGTTGGTACAAGTCGTGATGCAAATCAGGTGCCATTCAAACACTGAGGCCACATCACACGGAACCAGTAGAGCAGCTATGTGATGTCACAAACCAGTGATATTTGATTCCCTTTGACCAAACCTCTTTCTGTAAACTGAAGTGAAATCAGTGAGGGAGCTGACTCAGTTTCATTTCTACTCAGTATCCTCATTTGAGTTTTGCACCATCACAGATGTTGAGAGCTACGTTTCCGGCTGCCTATTACAGAAAACACCCCCGGCCAGAATTTGAAAAATCTGATCCAGATTTATTTTACATATTTACAGTCAAAGTATTATTAGTGATAAATTACAAAACTAGTTTGCCCAGGCACGACCACGCTCATACCTGGATGGGGGTTGGTTTGACGAAGCCAACTCGCTCAATATTCTCCATGATCTCTGGATAAGGCTCAAAGGCTTCCAGAAAAGTGCGGCAGGGATTGGGAACGGGTCGCTTTTCCCCTTCTTCCTTCAGGTCGTCCACAAAGATATTGTTATTCTCTTTCCTGCAGAGGAAAAACATGGAGGTATTAAGTTTAGAGCTACTAAACTAGAAAAAGACAGATGCACACCATGTTTAGTTTTATGTTTCAAAGACCACATTTAGTCCAAACTATACAGTATTCCCAAAACCACCTGAGCATAACAATTGTTCTTCTTTATTTATGGAACAAAAAATATTCATTCAACATAAGAACCACTGACAGATTCAAAGACATGCTGTCTTGTAGGTGTTCACAGTCTTACAGCTTCTTCTCCAGGAGATGTAAATATAAATGGTGCCCCCTTGTGTCTGAGGTATAAACTGCAGAAATCATGAGTCAAATTGGAGGTTAGTGGTTCTCTGTTTTACACCTGCAGCAACAAGATGAAGTGAAAGAAAATACGTCTCTGTCAAAATTACCTCCATTCTCTGACTTCCTCTGCTAGGAGCATGGATACACTCTCGGCCTCAGTGTAAAACTTCTTGTTCAAGGGTGGGAGGTCTGAAGGAAGTCAGACCTTAAAGCCTTGGGACCATTACAGCAACATAGTAGTTGTCATAATAACGACAGTATATGAGCCCTCACCCTGCCACTTGAGCTCTTCATACTTTCCCCTGTTCTCCCGGATGGAGTTCCAATCTATGGATGGTTGGGGTAGAATAACACTGGAAGCTTTTAACTGCTCAGAAGACCAGACTGAGTCTTTTCTTACTCCTCCGTAGTCTCCCGCCTTACCAGGCCCTGACAATGAGATCAGGAAGATGCAGGAGATTTATTAAAAGCTGTAAGTGTAAAAGACACAAGGAATATTTCAGGATCGATATCACTGTTTCATAGAAAAATTACTTTGTACCATTGCAAAATCTCGAGCTGCCCTCTGCCAACAAGTCTTCAATCATCTCCTTGGCCTTCTCCTGGGCAGCGGAGGACCCAAAGATGAGCACCTCGCCTTCATAATCCCCCTTGTTTATCTAAGAAAGAAGAGGTACACACAGGACGCAAAACATGTGTATCCAAAATGTCTTGAGAAACATTTACTCTTTACAATTACTACAACTAAAGAATACAGGGCGGTAACATAGCATTCGGGAGTTATCCCTGTTAGGTACAAACCAAAGATACTCAAAGTTTTCAGACATGAACTCTGGAAAATCGGGCCCAGACATAAGACGACTGTCGTCAGGCGTGTTCACAGCAACAGGATAATATGAGGAACATTCAGGTGATGTTCACATCACATGAGGTCTCATCAACTAAACGCTCCTATCTCGTCGTATTCCAAGTTGACATCGTCCTCAACTACTTCCAGTTCTGAACTTCTTCTTTGGCCACTAAGATATTTTCTATTCGGTTTCCTGTCGCATGTTAGAAACATCACAAACACTCCTTCCACATTTTATCAGGGGGCTGGAGGGAAAAAGTTTTGGAAAAAGTCAAGTGACATTTGCGTCCTCACCTACAGCCGCTCCGGAAAACAGTCCAGTGCACGTCTGAAAGCAGCTTAAGACAAATGAACGAGACAAAACACACTGAAAAGAAGTGTCTTTAATTCTGGCCATCTGATAGAAAACTTCACGATCCATCACAAGTTTGTTTCACCTTGAATTTCTGGAAATAAGCTCATTTGACTCTGGATTTGAAGACATGACATTGACCCTGATGAACAGAGACTCATCCAACTGCTGAAAAAACTATATTTATTATCTGATTGATGAAGTTTAAATAAGTCTGGTCGTTCATCAGGCTGGAGGAGGAACATGTAGGATTCAGTCCAGATGAAATCAAAGGTAAAGTTGATGACGAACTTTATGAATTCATAATCAATTGCAGCTTCTTACCTTGATCCGGGCCCCTGAGCTTTCTTCAAGTTCACGGATTTTGGCTCCTCCACGACCTTTATCGAAAATCAAACTCAATTGAACAGTCTGAAAAATATCTCCGTGTACATTTCAGCGACATTAACGTGTAAGTGTGTGCGGGACAATGTCCGCAGATAACCCGGGAAATCTGGGAACCGGTGAGCTAACTACCGCCCGCGGAATTAGCATAGCATAGCATAGCTAACAGCGGGGTCGCGAACGCCCAACCCCTGAAAATAAAACCTCTTCTTCGGGAACAAACCTATTATCCTCCCGACAGAGGCATTTTCCACGGTGAGTGTCACGGGCGGGGAAGAGTCCGACCTTTCACCGCCGAAAGTCCGTCGCTCCCGGGCACCCCCGCGGTCCGCGTCCGGGGGAAAGGCGCGGCCCTCGCGTCCACCTGCCGGGCTCCTGCGATCGTCGCTCCGGTCGGCTCTCCAGTGTCTCGGGCCTCCGAACCTCGGTCCGTCTCTCGCACCGTAGAACACGCGGTCCCGTGGACGGTCCTCGCAGCGGGATCTCGGCTCAGGCTCCTGGAGGGACGAGTCTTCTTCCCAGTCCGACATGTCGACGCTCCTTCACGGTCTGAGGCTCAGAACCGCCTTCATGACCCGCCTGCACTCCCGGAATTTACAGCTTTTTACATTTAAATCTCCACAACTCAGAGGGATGGTTCACCCGAAAAATTAAAATCCACTCATTGTCCACTCACCCCTGTGCCCAAGGAGGAGAGGGGGAAGTGTTCGAGTCCACAAAACACCTTTAGACTATGTTCACTCCGCTTGGCCCCATGTGACCCAGATCTGATTGTTTAATGAGTGTGAACAGAACCAATCACAGAGAATCTGATCTGAAAAATAGCTTTTACACACACACCTATATATATATATATATATATATAGGTGTGTGTAAAAGTTAAATCGCTCTAAGAAAAGGTGGACGGCCCGTTGCCACCAGCGACCGCTCGTGAGTGGGAAACTGGAAAGCTTAGTTAATTTTCAAATCTATGCTGAAACCTCTAAGACACCATTCATTCTGCGTCTCTTGTCCCTCGACGTACTCGAACACGGTTGCCTCAGTCCCGGCTGTCTCACACACACTTACGACAGAAACGTCTAATGAAATGGAGGATTTCTTGACCACGGTCATCCCGAGCCATTCGAGGACACCCCGAGCCTGTGCCAGTGGTTCGAGTGTTTTGGAACAGCCGAGGCGAGGAGCACTTCTTAACAGCATCTCTGCCCCTAAAGTGTGTGAGCTGCTACTGGAGTGTTAGTAATAAAAGACATAAAACCCCCAAACACTTTAGTTAATATGTACTTTATTAATGAATAATAAAATCATTTTTGCATTTCTCATCCAGAGAACATAATGTGCACTTTAATAAATTAATTTCAAAGAAATAATAATGTTAACATTGTCAAGCTTTAAGGCCAGTTGTGTAATAAATTACTGTAGAGAAATGGTATTATTACCCATCAAAGCCGTATAAAGACAGCGGCTAAAGCTACAAGACTTAAGTGAACTGGAGGCCCATCCCATCATATCTATTCCAAAATTACTCAAAACTGCCATGTGTCACATTATCAGGCTCCTCAAACTCACCACAAACATGATAATTTATCTCGTCACATCAGAGACTCCTGCATGGGCTGCGGACCGCTTCAAATTCCATTCATGTCATATGTTAGAAGATAATACTTGTTATATTCTACTACAAAATGTTAATTTTCTAAGCAATGCACTGACTTGAGGAAGGTAAGTGAGACATAAAGATGAATAAAGGCCGTCATCAACACGCTGAAACACGTTTTTAAGACTGCTGTGACTGCGTACCCCTTAAGACGTTACACCGTGCAAAAACAAATCAAAATGGCCAACAGAAAATAAGATGGGTACCCTGTGTTTGTGCATAATATTAATTCACGAGCAGCCAACATAACTGCAAACAGGAGAGCAATCTAAAGAAGATGAAGTGTAGTGTTAGGATGGTGTCAGTTTGCAGAATGCTTGAAGAACACAATTCAATTTCAATCTGTATATGGAAAAAAATGCACAAAGATATAAAGAAATAATCCCTTGTAATCGATTGATGTGATGATGAGGAATTAAAAGATTTAAATTTCGACCGATACATTCAGATTTGAGGGGTCGAGATATAAAAGGACACATTATAATCTCAGTTCCAGGTCAGATTCTTGTGCGTCCACTTTGTCTCCTGCCAAATATTACGCCAGCACATTTCTCTGTATAGAAGCATCCTCTCACTCCTATTTTATTATGTGACTATATGATATTTTGATGTTGTTAGCAGCAGAATGGACACGTGGATAATACACAACATGTGCACTAGATCAACAGCACTACATGTACAGTGTATTATCATCATGGTGAAATGGAATCTGTCCATTGGAACCACACACACACACACAAGATGGACGACATGACGGCTTCCCAAAAGTGAGGTCAAAGCATCTTGATCGCCCCCTGCTGGTTGGCTAAAGTATAGTTCATGCACCCAGCCTCCTCCATGTTAGTTGATGTTAAAGAAAAATCTAAATAAATGTCACAAAGTTGGTTCCTGTCATTCTGTCATACTTGAGACTTCAGGAAGGTAGCACGATGCTATAATAACTCTAGCAAAGTCTCTCCATTAGGTTTCAAGTTTGACTTTTGAATGTCTAACTTTTTTGCCTTGATTATTTTTTTATATTTCAAAATATGAGAAACTTTTGAGACAAATTAGAAACTAAAATGTGGCTGAAGTGAGAATCACACTTTTGTCTCCAACACTGTAGACGAGCAATCTTTTCCTCTGCATTCACTTTTCTGAAAAGTTTAATTGCTTATTTGATGCTATAAAAACTGGGTGAAATGTCGTGATGGACAGCTGAGACTGACTTGTGATTGGTTGAGAACGTGTATTATGAGTACTTCCCTCCCACTGCTCTGTCCCTTGATCACTGCTTTACAGACAATGACTACAAACGACGTCTTCGCTGCAGGATGCTCGTGTTTGTAACCAGGATGTTTTGTCCTTGTTTCTGGGTCGTGAAAGGGAAGTGTAGACGCATCGTCCATCTTAATATAAAGTCTATAAGCCACAATATTTTTGGACTGGGGGAGGAATTAAAGTCAGCCTCTAATCACTATTAATGCACATGGTGCAACCAGCACCCGGTAAAAAGACAGGGTTTGTCAAAATATATATATATTTTTTTTTAAAAACCTTGTGCATCATATCATTTTATAGTAAGTGGGTTATCTATAAAACTGACAGTACAGGTTTTTAACTACCATCAAATTAGTTCAGATTAGAATATTATAATGTTCACTTAGGCAAACTTTGTTTCTGTTAAAGGTTTGGAGGAAACTTCCACATGCATGAGGGCGTCCAGGCGACACCAGCGCGTGAGTGAGTGAGTGCTCTTGATTTAAGTATTGCAGCAGCTTAGACATGCAGCATCTCATGCTTGGCTGAGATAACCCTACAGCAATCCAGGATTCAGACCATTAACTAACGGACCAGGCTACTGTCCAAACCAAGTGGGACACAGTCCAACATCTGAGCGACTGCTGATCGGCCATTTTCCCCAGTTGGATTGCAGCATCCAAATTCACTGATGACCCGCTGAGAGACGACACACACAGCGACCTCATCAACAATGATTCATGTTTGTGTGGCTGCAGAGGATGAACAGAATGAGATGCTTGTGGTCCGAACATATGCTCCGACCTTCAACTCTTCATAATTCAGCTATTCCCATCACGTCACACCAGGCGCCACATCTCGTCAACGTAACTCATCTGTCATTCCTTAGTGTTTGGAAACAGTCCATGCAGTGATATGTATGAAAGCCTAAGTTAAAGAGGACATTTGTTTTACGTTGCCAAAGACGGACATTGAATAAGGAGCGACTTTCCTTTTCTTCCAAGAAAGTCTCAGAGTACAAGCACTTGTATGAAAAAATAAGTCACTAGTCAGTCTTTGTCAGGTTGGCTCTTCTGAGAGGACTCAGTGGTTGTGGTAGGTGGTTGTGGTTGTGTGTGTGTGTGTGTGTGTGTGTGTGTGTGTNTGTGTGTGTGTGTGTGTGTGTGTGTGTGTGTGTGTGTGTGTGTGTGTGTGTGTGTGTGTGTACTGTTTTCAAGAAAGAAGTGGTCGACATGATTTGCAGAAGCTATTTCATGTTTAAATAACATCCCACTTTTGTGGCTCGCAAACACTGACTATATATAGAATTGGACGACATGACAAGCCCCAAAAACTGAACTCAGATTATTAGATACACTCCATGTTAGTGGACGGGACATGGACCAATAGAAATGAATTGTCCGCATTCAAATTTGTTATTACCAAAGATGGTTTCTGTCATTTAAGGTCATGATTTACGTCTGAGACTCCACACTGCTGCACAGACTCTGGCTCCAAATGATTCGATCTGTATCCACACTTAATTTCTTGAATGTCAATTTCGTGAATGTCAGGTCAAACTTAAATAAGATCTTTTTTGTATAAGATTTTGAATATGAAAAATATTATTTTTTTATCTTTTTCGTATGTAGTTGATTTTCCATATCTTTAGATAAAGAGCAAATCTATTTCTTTAATAGAAAAGTCACGAGCATTTGTGAACCGTTTGTGTATTTTGTCCTACATGAGTTTGTCCACTTGCATTCATATTCTACACATACTTTTATTAGACTATTATTGTTTCCTCTTTGTTAATGTTACTGTTAGAACCCCATAAATGTATATAATACGGTTTATAACCTGATAGAATGTGTATGAAAGTGGACATGATCATGTTGGACAAAATATAAAAACAATGTCCACACGTAATTAATCTCACAATCATGTGCATACAGTGTCAGTGTGTGTGTGTGTGTGTGTGTGTGTATGTGTGTGTGTGGTTATGCCAGCTGTATGTGTGGAGACTGACTGAGAAAATCTGAATTTCCCTTGGGGTGCGGTGCAGCATCGTCCACAGTCTGTAAAAGGTCGGAGGGGCTGCTGTCAGGTCCCTGGGACAGGAAGTTGAAATGTTCTCCTGCAGGCTCCAGCTTGCACTCACTAATGAAGAATTCAGTTCCGTCCCAGTTGCTAAGTTCATCATGGTGGGCATTGCCCCGCTCGCTACCGTTGCTGCTGCTGCTGTTGTTGAGTGCTGAGGAGAGACCAGAGGCACGGCTGCTCAAAGGCTGGCTGAGGTTATGCGCGGAGAGGGATTTCCCCAGACTGCCTTCCCAGTCTGAAGATCTCCCGTCTGGGCTCGACGAGAGCAGCAGCAGGGGGTTCACCTCCAGGCTCATGTGCCTCCTCCACACCCCCTCAGATTTCAAGCCAGGCTTCTCCCTCAGCTGCACCCTCCCCCGGGCAGAGCCGGCCTCACTGTCCTCCTCCTGGTCAGCATCCACGTCGGATCCCACCACAACAGACGGGCCCAGGCTCTCTTTGTCTGCCGTCACTTCAACTGACACATCATCTGGGACAGAGTCAGCGGAACATCGCAGGTGAGAGGGGTGAGCCATGGGGGGCAGCTGGAGGGTGAAGCCTCCAGTTGAGGGAGGTGGGGGCGGCAGGTCGGGGAAGTGTGCTCTTTTGGAGCTGCCATTGGGTGTGACCAAGGTTGGGTATGGGCTATCAGGTGGCAGCAGTGGTGACGGAGAGAGTGAGGCCGTGGAGGGGGGGTAAGATGGAGGTGCTGAGTCCGGGGGTGCGTCATCATCGGCGGGTGCCAGGATGAGCCGCAGGCCTCTGGGGTTGCCGCTATGGGAACGGCGTATGCCCCCATTGTTATCTCCTCCGCCTCGAACGGGGTCGACTCCCTGCGGGGAGGGGAGGTCCCTGCCGATGATGGAGTTCTGGTAGTCCAAGTTGTGGTGCCGGTTCAGCTCGAACAGGGGCAGGGAGGAGAGGGTGAGGGCCGAGGAACCTTTCTGCAGAACTTGGCGGTAGACGTCCAGCAACGAATCCAACTTTGATTCGATGGAAGTCACCTGGGAGAGAAAGTAGAGAGTAACATGGTGAGAGAGAGAGAGAAGCTTTAAAGCAACACGATGGGTAACAGCGCCCCCTGCAGACACACGAGGTGAGGAATTCTGCTCGGCGCCAAGTCTGAGCGATTAACTGGGTCTAACTAATATTATAAGGTAATAAAACCTCAGCAAGCAAATACATTTTTACAGCTGACTTCTCCTTCTCTGATTATTTTCATTCTGAACTCACCTGTCTCTCCACCTTACAGACACGTCCCAGCATGCTCATGCCCTCCAGAGAGTCCCCATCCGGGTTCAGTTTATCCCTCATCTTCTTATCCACAGGAATCTGGCCTTTTCCCAGGATCTGATCCACCCTGATACACACACACACGTGTTTATATATTAGAAAATAATGATGTTGTAATATAAGTAGGCACCCGAGCGTCACTTCAGGTCATCCCAAGTCAGGCAATACACCTAAAGCAACAGCAGGATGAGGGTTAGTAAAACACATCACACACGGCTCAACTGTATCAGTGCAGCTACATCAAAACATGTCAGTTCTCCACATAACAAAGAAAAACAAGGTTTCAGTTCAGATTTCACACAATATGTAGTTTGCGTTGGTTTCATGGGCTCTTGAAACTGAATATAACACGTGCATCACTTATTTCACGTTCAATTTCAGCAAGGTTTTTAAAAAAAACAAGTGAAATGAAAAGAGTATTGATCAGATCAGTTTCTTTGCTCTTCGACATTTAAATAGTGTGTGAATTAGTGAAGTTAATCATTGAACAGCTCAACATGCAATATACCGAATGGAATATTTAATTTTTTCCCGCTTAAAAACCACAAATATTAATTACGAATCCACAAATACACAAAGAAATTAGCAACATTCACAAGCAATAATCTTCCCCCTTCATGGAACAACACATCAGAGGCTGAGTGTGTTTAGGTTTGTGTGCACGTTTTCAGCTGTATACAAATCATTGCTCTAAATTTAAATGTTTGTAAAACAGGATTAATAAAACGCTGTACCAGGTGGGTGGAGTTTAACACGGTAGAATAATCATATTTTGGGTAAACTGTAGTAACTTGTGATGCACTCTACTGAGCCGCTCACTTTGATTGTTTAAAACTTCTTGTTCTAACTGAATTTTCCAGTGCAAACTCCAACCATCTGGTGGGCTACTGTAAGAAAGTTAATCCAGATGTTTTGCATCTCGGTGAGTCTGTTTGGGAGAAACGTTTCACAGACAGTTTTGGGAACGTCGAGGGAACCGGTAGGTCTGTGAGTTAAAGTCAAATGAAGTGAAAGAACAGTAACCCTGAGGCAGGGAGCTTCTTCCTGTTGTTGTAATAATAATGCAGGACGGGAGCCGACACGTTCCTGGGTCGACCAGAGCCCGCTGCACTGGTCGGTCTGAAGACAGGAGAGATACCGGGTCAGATACATCTCTAACACACAAACACACGCACGCACGCACACGCACGCACAGAGGTTTGAAGCAATGTTGCATAAATGAACATAGGAACATAAAGGATGCAGGTTAAAATGCTGCTGAATGTTTTAAAGCATCAATATTGATGATGGCCAATTTCTTTCTTTATTTAATCTGTAGTTGATTAAGATTAAGCATTAAATTTGCAATTTTTCCAATGTTGTTGTTGTGATATTATCAAAATCTATTTTCTCTCGGGTTAGATAGCAGATGCACATTGCTGATCTCAGGTCTGTGTGTATCTACAACCTTCAAACACACTCAGGCTCATAAAACAAGCACAGTGGTTCTCCCCAGGACTTCTACTGTCCAGAAAGTCCCCTACAACTTTTACAGTTCATCCAGCTTCACACAACACAACAAGTAAAAAACTCTCATTTGGTTTTGTATAAGTGAAACTATAACTATATTGTTTGGCCCCTACTGAAATATTAGTCAAATCCTCAAATCGGGATTAGCAAATATTTATCCTTCATTTAAAAAAAAAAACTTTTATACTGTAATTCAATATTATTAAGTAAAAAAAGGGGTAATTAAAATTTTCCCCTCGTTGTTAAACTGAAATAAAAAAAGTGAATTAGATGCATCGATACTGTCAGATAATCTGAAGATTTAACTTTTTCTTGCAGGATTTAGTTCATCATCCAGTGTTTGAGCTCCCTGAGGAGCTCTACAGAGTTGAAGCTTGTCCATTAAACTACAGTCAGACCTGGGTCACATGGCACTTTATGTGTGTTGCATGGATCCAAAGCAGGGGGGTGCATGAAAGTGAACATTTGGCTGCTTCCTCCTTTTTCAAGAGTTGTGCCTGATAAGCTTTTTCAGAAAAGTGTGTGTGAAACAGTCGACACAGCAGCTTGATTTTTGGCACAATGTTTAAAATGTTGTTGTAATTAATAAATGTACCCTTATTATTTACAATAAGTTAACCGTTTGCCGTCTGACCCAGATGTGACAGTCTTCTAAGGTTAGTAGTCGGCAGGCAGGAGACGGGGCGCAGGTCTAACCCCGGCGCAGTCTGTTTCCTCCGCGCTTGGCTGTAATATAAATGCAGGGAAGGAGCAGAAAAGGTCTTGGCGCGGCTGCTGAAGGGCCTCGCAGGGGGACCCACTACTTTGTCAAGTCTGGGAGAGAGAAGGGACACACATGTACACAAAGGCTTCTGCACAGACACACACTCTAAAGGTCAGAGAGAGAGCTGGAGGTCAGATGAACATGGAAAATCCACATCTGGAACACGTAAAAACTTTTATATAGAACAACAGAATATGTAGAAAATCATGTTTTTTAACTCAAGAGGACAGATTAGCTCTTCAAAATGTTGTATGTGTGTGTGTGTGTGTGTCCTGACCTGGTCTGAAGGCTCTTGATGCGACAGAGCATGTCCAAGTGTCCCGCAGAGTACTGCTCGATGACGTCCTTCACGTCGTAGGGACGCAACGTCTCCTTGAACTTCTTCTTTGCAACGTGAAACTTCATGATCCTACACACAGACAGACACACACACACATTCTAAAAGTCTGTAACTCCTACAACTAACCACTAGATGGCAGCAGGAACTATGAGAAACCCACAGACTGATCTTTGTGACTTCTCACTTGTTGATCTTTTTGTGCAGAATAATTAAAACAATATTATTAAAATCTCAGATACCTTGAGAAGTGTCTAATGGGAAACCGAGGCTCCTCGGTTCTCTTGTCAAATCAAAGTGAAAGACTCTGGAAACCTGAGTGTAATCCTCTGTGTCCCTGTGTTTGATGAGCAGACCCACTGCTGTGTGAATAATATTGATGCAGGTAAGCGGATCTAAGCCCTCGGTTCGCTCCGACTCCCCGGTGGCTGCTGCGTGTCTCCAGTTGCCGGTGTCTCTCATTGTCTGAGTGGAAACAACAGTGACAGTCGACCCTCTGTAATAACAGTGCAGACTGGGGAGGGGGTGTCCAAAACTCAACCCGACACCCTGGGAAAGCCCTCGGTCGCGGCTGCCCATCGTGGAGGCCTGCTGGGTGGGCAGGCCGGCCCGAGTTAGGTGGTGGAGGTTCATGTGTGTGTGTGTGTGTGTGTGTTTGTGTGTGTGTGTGAGAATGTGAGTCCTACAGCGAACAGAGGAGCTGGTGATGGAGCAGTTCAGCCTGTAGATGTCAGGTCACTAATAAATCAAAGCAGGATAAAGTACCTACATGTCAAATCATTCAAACAGTGAAGAATTGACTAAATGTTTTTTGTTTCCAGAGTTTAATATATGAGGGGACACTGAGGGGACACTGAGGGGACACTGAAGACGAGTGTGTGCACTGGTTTCCAAACAGATTCCAATGGAAATCAATATAAATATATGTCCACTTGGTGAACTGAGTCAGAGAGGTATCTTATATTATAGGAAACAGGAAGTTGCTGAAGATAATTGAAAGTGATAAATGCAGGAACATACGTTCAAAATATCCACATGAGACGTCTTATTTATAGAAATGATTTTTGAAGAAGATACGCTCACACTCAGAGACGCATGAATTACATGATCGTCTAGTTCTTATAGTAGAAATATGTCGCACAGTAGAAACATCACAAACTGCTGCAGCCGATGGCTCCGGATCAGGAGGACAGATCCCAAATGGGCCCCAAGACGTTGGGGACACACACCCTCAGATCAGCCTGTGGTGGCCCTGCTTTAGAAAACACCTGTTGATGCTAACACACAGCTGAAGATATGTCCCTTACATCTGCTAACATCTACTGGTGGTTGGTATCTTAACAAGTGCAGAACAACTTTTCTGTCAACATAGTTAAAGTTTGATCCACATCGGCACCAAAAGTTCTCTCTTGGCTCATGTCCAACATTAAAAAACCTGACCTCCTTCACAGAGGTGATGAAATGAGCAATGGACAAAAATGGAGACGTGCGTGACGGGAGTGAGTAACACAGGAGGAAACATGTTAGTCGAGTTGTTTACAGACAGAAACTGATGATAGAAATGAAAGTTCAGTCGGGCAGAACAGAAATGCGAAACCTATTGAATTTACCTTGAACTTTCAAACCACATTTTTTAAGGAAACTACACCAGTGACGTCAGGTTTATATGGTTGAAACTCATCGTCCTTTATTATCCAAATACATTATACTCTGACTTAAACTTAAATCTTCTTTATGATGCAAAAAAGAAGATAGATCACTCAAAAAAATTATTCTGCTTTGAACTGGGCAGACTTGTCTTTATGTTTAAGATCATCCTTAGCAAATTATTAGTTGTTTGTCTTTTTTCTTATTTTCATCCCGTCTCCTTATTAAATTGAAAAGGTTGAATTTAGAGTTTATAAAACCAGCAAAGCAGCATCTGAATTCTTGTTACAGCAAATACTTGAACCAGCGGTAAATGTTTTTAGCGGAACCTGTAATTTATTTATTGGACTCACAGTGAGAGGTGGAAAAAGGAGATTTTTTTTTTCTCTTGACAATGAAAAATATGAAGAGGGTGAGAAGAAGCGGTGAAGTGAAAGAAACAGTCGGCGCCAGTTGGACAAACATTCGCTCGCAGGGTGCCGGTGCCAGTGTTAGACAGCAGAGTCTGCTGACACACACACACACACGCACACACACGGTGGAAGGATGCGGTACGTAAAGTAGCAGAGACGTCTCACACAAGCAGAGCTATAACACGAAAGTAAAAGCCACACGAAATAGAGTGCATCAGATTTGAATCAGCCACTGACCTGTGTTTTCACATATGACAGATGAGTAACTCTGCTGGTTTTATTGTCAGCATCTATTGTGGTTGTGGCTTCTGAATTGATATTTTCGGTTAATGCACATGTGCGAGTCGTCTCGGCCACCGTAGGCATGAGTCACAGAAGAACCAATGAAGCACGGACCTGGATCAGACTGATGGTATTTTCATATTGTTCGTGAATTATTATGGCCAGAATACTACATTCGATCAATAGACACAGACTTAGAAATATGGACAATCAACCAATCAACCAATCGACCAATCAACCAATCAACCAATCAGAAACTTCAATCTACGATCAACAACCTGCCAATCAGGAAAGGAGGCCACACTGTGACGTCACCGATTGACTGGTAATTCAATGAGCCGCCACCGTGGCTTCAGAATCAATGGACACAGGTAAGAAATGAAAGGTCCTGAGCGAAGAGTTTAAATGATGTGAAGAATCAATAAGACGCCCAGTGTTCGTTCAGCGGAGCCACAAAATAGATAAACGACAGAACGACTTCAGTGGCATCACTGATGGGAAATATCATTTTTTTTGAAGCCCTCGTTAAATAAGAATAAAATGATCTGTCTTTTCCTTGGTGGGCACAGAGGCTTGAAATATGAAGTGTGGAATGTGCAGGAGCTCACCTGACAGCTCTGATGACGGCCTTGAGCGGAGCCGACAGATCCTCCACCGTAACATCGCAGTGGCAGCCCCTCTCGTCGAAGGAATCCTCCGTGGTCATCCCTGCGTCCACTGAAAGAGACGGAGCCGTCATTTCATCAATAAACGCAGGCCCCCATGCAAAATACTTTCCAGTCTGAAAAATTCATAAAACACTTTCTGCATAGCGGCGTCTCGACAGGAGCCTCCAAGAATGTTTCAAACTGAGGCTATTTTGGCTTTTAAGAGGTGAGAATTTATGCCCCACTTGGACAGGGGATCTTTGGGAAGGGGCAGAATTTTGCCAGCTCAGCGATATGAGGCGAGAGAAAAGGACAGACACAGTATATCCGTAATGCTGCCAATAATTATGAGAGTGGGAGACAGAGAGAGCGAGTGGGGGAGAAATGGAAAGAGAGTAAATAATGATATAGCGCAGATGAGAGGTTATAAAACCTGCTCAAACCAACGATAGCAGGGAATAAGAGGAGAAACAGAGGTGCTATTAAAGCAGTCAGCAATTTCTTCTGCTTCTGTCGAGAAGGGGTTTCTGGGAAATTTGAGGAGAAACACTGGTGCATTACGATTAATTAATGATCCTTACAATGCGCAGGAATGTTTGAATTTATTCTAAACTACGTGAAGGAAAACAAACTACAC